CTCTCCAGGAGTTCAGAGCCCAGTGGTTGAGAGCTACGCCATCGTGAGGTGGGAGCCATCTGTGCCACTTTGGTTTCTAGATTCAGGTGGGCTGAGCTCCAGGCCCACAAAACTCTCAGAGTCACCAGACCAACATTCAGCCACTCACACTGCCCCTAGTTTCCCTATGGTCCTAACAGACACAAACCAGCTCCATCAAGGGCCCCATGAGCTACTTCCACACTGAGTGCCCTGAATGTAGATAACATTAAGGCTAAAATGAATTCCATCTAGGAGCAGGAACTCTGCCGTCACATCTCTTCTACCAACACCTTGTGAGAGCCTTGAATTTCAGGATCCCACCACAGATTTCTTCTCTCCAGCTCCAACAACTGCACTGTCTTTACAAATCCAACAGCCCCACGGTGCCCTGGAGACAGCAGACAATTTTAGTTTAAAAATTAACAAAGAATGGCTCAAACAAATGACCAAGATGCAGAACCAGAAACATGATTCTGAGGAATAAAAGGTAATGGAACTAACTGAAAAATAATTCAAAAGAATGATAATTAGGTGCCTTCATAGAATCAATAGAAAGAAAGAAAAGTAAGGAAACCACAATAAAAACTTAAGAATTCAGGAAATCACTATGCAAAAGATAAACAGAACAACAGATAAAATGCAAATTTTGAAATACAAAACCTGTCATTAGAAATCCAGAAAAATAATACTAAGATCTCAGAAATGGACAATACATTGAAAGAACAAAGGATTAGATACAAAGCAATGGAAGGCTCAGTTAGTGAACTTGAAGATAAACCTCTTAGTACTAGTATGCTAGAACAACCCCCCCAAAAAAATAATGAAAAAATCAAAGAAAGCCTTAGAGTTATATGGGACACCATGAAAAGGAACTTACAAAGTGATTCGAATTCCAGAACAGAAAGTCAAGCACAGAGAAAATTCTTGAGTTGTTGAAAGAAAACTTCTTTAAACATCATAAAAGACAAAAAGATAAGCATACAAGAAGCTGAACAAACCCCGAACAGAATAATTCCCAAAAGAAAGTCACAAAGATATATCATAAGGAAACTCCCCAAAATCAAAGATAAGGAAAGAATCCTAAGAGCAGCTCAGGAAAAACAAAATTACCAACAAGGGAGAACCAATAATAATAAACTCAGATTTTCCAGCAGAGACCATGCAGGCAAGAAGGCAATTGGATGATATATACAAAACTCTGAATGAAAAAAGTTGCTAACCACACATCATATATCCAGAAAAGCTGTCCCTCAAATATGATGGTGAAATTAGAACATTTCCTGATAAACCAAATTAAAGAAATAACAACCAGGCCAGCTTTACAAAAAATGCTAAAGAGTGTTCTTTGGACTGTAAATCAGCAACAGCAGACAACCTGAGATTACCATACATGACAACATCACTCAACTCAATCCAGAAATAGAAGTATTTAAAGTAAGATTTGCAAGACTGAAACTAGGGAACCAGAGATGTCAATGTATAATGAAGTCAATTACAAAGCAAGAAGAGGGAATAGGGTAGATACAGAACTTCCAAATGGCAAGGAAGTCAAGTACATTTCATGCAGGAGGAAAATTACAGGGTAACCTCAAAGAAAAGCCATACATCTGCATATCGAAATAAAGAAAATCCGAAGAGATTTAGTAAACATTAACAGAAATGAAAATAACAAGAAAACCCACTAACAAAATGAGCTCAGCAGAGAAAAGTATGAGGAGCAAAGAATCCAACAGCACCATAAAGGAGAAAAAAAAATGACATCTCATACCTAATGGTAATTACATTGAATGTGAATGGATTAAATGTACCAGTCAAGAGCCATAAAGAGCAGCATGGATAAGAAAACAGCATCCTTCGATATGTTGTCTACAAAAGACATTTCAAAAAAGTTGGAGACAGCTTAAATGCCCATCAACAGAAGAACAGTTATACTTTGGTATAATATATACAATGAATACTATCAAATGTTGAAGAATAATGATAAATCTGAAACACCTCACAACAAAATTGAACCTGGAATACATTATGCTGAGTGAAATTAGTCACAAAAAGACAACCATCGTACAAGACCAATATTGTTGTCAGGTGCCATCGAGTCGAAACCGATTCATAGCGACCCCATGCACAGCAGCACGAAACAATGTCCGATCCTGGGCCAACCTCACTACCGCTGCCACACTTGAGTCCATCAATGATGCCACCTGGC